CTATTTCACCAGTTTAGTCTCATGTACTTTATCTTCTGTTGTGGTTCGATCTTCCCAATTGAATTTTGGGATATAATATTCAACTCGAGACCAGACTTGTCCCTACGATTAAGCTGGCCATTAGTTTTTGAACTCTTATTTATGTGTGAATACATTGAATTTTTCTGACATAGCACTCCCTTGAGAACTTCTTGGAGATCTGGTCAGGTTTTGTTTATCTGAGAATGTTCTTTTCTTTTCTTCCCATATGAAGGATAATCTTGCTGGGTTCAGTATTCTCAGTTGAAATTGCTTTTCCCTTAACACTTTGAATATATTTTCCCATTCTTTCCTTGCTTGCACTGTTTCCGATGAGAGGTCTGCGGTCAGTCTGATGGGATATCCTGTGTAGGTAACTTGCCGTTTCTCTCTTGCCAATCTTAGTATCTTGTCTTTGTCTGTGGTTTTGGTCAGTCTGGCTATAATGTGTCTTGGAGAAGATCTTCTTGGGTTGATTCTATTTGGGGTCCTTCATATTTCTTGGGACTGGATCTTTGAGTGCCTCTCTAAGTTTTCTTGCAGGATTTCATGGAATAGATTGTAAATGCCTTGAGTCTCTTTGCCTCCTGGGATGCTAATTATCCGGATGTTTGGATGTTTGATGGTGTTTATTATTTTTCATCTATTACTCTCAAATTTTCGGGCAATTTTCTCAGTCTTCTTGGTGGATTTTTCTAGACCAGCAATTTTCTCTTCTATATTTGAGATTCTATTTTCTGTTTGATCTAGTCTGCTTTTAATACTTTCAAGAGAGATTTTGACTTCCTGTATTATAGTCTTCATCTCTAACAGGTCCATTTGATTCTTTTGTGAAGTATGTATTTCCTCTTTTAGATCTTGCAAGAATTTCCTTACCTGGAACTCGTCAGCTCCTTTCTCTTCTGCAGTTCATTGTCTCTCTTCTCTTCATCTCTGTTGGCTTCCCCATTATGAATGTTCTAAATTCTTTATCAAACATTCCCATGATTTCCATTGAACTGTCTGTAGATGAAGAGAAGTTATTCTTTTCCCTTGGAGGAGAGGTAATTTCTTGCTTTCCCATATTTCTTGTGGTCTTGTGGTGATTTCTAGTCATCTGATGGAAAGTGTGTTTCTTCCCAAACTTGAAGTACAATCTGAGCATCCAGGAGCGTGCAGAAAAGATACAGAGAGAGAGAAACAACAGCAACAAAAGCAACCAAGAAACAGAGAAAAAGAGAAGAAAAAAACTAAAACTAAAAATTATTATTATTCTTTTTTTAAAAAAGCAAAAATTAGAAACTAGTTCTCAGGAGCCATGAAGATGTCTTTTGAGGCCTGCTCCCTTGCCTCTCCTGGGTTGGGAGGAGAGGGGATTATTAACAAGATAAAGGGAGAGGACAGGCTGAAAGCTGAGAAAATGCTCTACCTTAAAAAATTTTTTAAAAGGAAAAATTACAGGGATCAGCAGTTAGTGTAATGGCTATGTTGCTGGACTCCCACGTAGTAGACCACGGTTTGCATCGTGGACCCAGTGGCTTAAACTCATGCCGGGCATGTGTGCATGCATGCCCAAGATCCCAAGAGGAGAATGGAGAAGGGATTGCGGCGTGGCCAACCCCCCTGGGGGGGTGATTTCTCGCTTTCTGTCTCTGTTTGTCTGGCGAGCGCATGTACCCCATGGCAAAAACTTCTCAAAAAAAAAAAAAAAACAGAAAAAATAAAAAAGATCTGCTACATAGCTGTTATCACACAGAGCGCAGAGTGTTACCAAAGAAACTGCTATTGAACAGTACAGGTCGAGACCTACTGCAGGACTAAATCTAAATTAAAATATAACTCGAAGTACAGCTTTCGGGAAGAAGAACCATAAAATGAATACATGATACTCTGTATAGCATATTACAAAGTATGATACTTGACTAGTACATATATATTCAAATAGCAATCTTATGGCAGGTCTCACACTCAATAATTTACTTATTTTAAAAACGGTATTAATTCATTGGCATAGCAGCACGGTAAATCTAAAAAACTGTTTTAAAGAGGAGGAAAAATATAGCTTTTAAGGCAACTATTTTTAAAGAGTTAAAAAGTATCACTTTAGATTTTTCATCAGCAAGATATCAGAATACAAGACTGGTATATATTTAAGAAAAGTGCCTACCATATCTAGGTACCATATCTGACTAAATTATAATTGAAGAATAAGAGTGAAATAAAAATATTTCTGGACAAAAATCTCTACCATCCATAAATCCTCACAAAGAGAACAACTCAAAGATTTATTTCAGTAAGAAGGAAATAAACTCAAAAGGAACTAATGACGTGGGATGCTCACAGCAAAGAAATTGAGAACCATTTTGGAAAATGGCTTAAAGGCCAGCAGGTAGCGGAAAGTTAAAGCAGCTGAATCCCACATGGCTAACTATGCAGCTGGAGACCGGAACCCAGTGGCTTGAAAAACATGCCTGGCGTGTGTCCATGCATGCCAAAAATCCTCAGGGGAGAACGGAGGAGAAGGGACTACAATGTGACCACACTCCCTGGGGGCTGTCCTGTAGCAAACTAAATAAACAAAAAAAGAAAATTGCCTGCTTAATTAAAAAAAAATTAAGTTGGAATTAACATGAAAAATGTGAAGAGATCAGAATATACTTTAAGATTTCTATATGTTCTCTAAATTCTCTACAATAAATGTTTCTTTTTAAAAAGAAATTATTTTATTTAACTTTAATTAATTAATTAATTTTAATTTGACCAGAGAGGGACAGAGAGAGAGAGCTAGAGGGAAAGTGAGAAAGCAAGCCACCTTGTCTGGAACTCGAACTGTGGTCAGCCATGTGAGAGTTCAGTGCCATTAACCACTGTATCACCTGCTGGCCCCAAAAGATTTATTTACTTTTATTTATCATTATTATTATTTTTCAATTTGCTATGGGCACATGCACTCACCAGAGAAAGAGAGAGGACGAGAGAGAGAGAAAGAAAGAAAGCCTCGAGGTCTGGGACTCGAACCATGGTTGATCATGCAGAAGTACAGTTCCTTAATCCTATGACACCTGCTGGCCCCAATATCCATTACTTTTATAATCAGAAAAGGATGCATACTTTCTTAAAGGAAAAAAAAATCCACGATTTCCTGAAAGGTTAGTCGGAAGGTCAGAAAAAGTTGGTTATTTAAAAATAATATAATGCTCAACATATGTGTGTTTTCATTTGAAAGGTACTTTAATTTCTTGATTCAAATAAAATAGGAAATAAAAATAAT